AGCTCAGGTTTGATGCATCTGGAGTCATCTCATCTCATAAATAAGTTTATTGCGAGTCAACTTCAATGAATCATTTGACATTCTAAAAAACAACAACAACTAAAACCACAATTAAGACGGGCAAAAGATGGTGGTGACAACACACAAAATTGCGACGCCCGCTGAAGTCCCGCTGAGATGTTGGCTCTCTGCGTTACAGCCGCGTTGGTTTACTCGTCAGTCGGCGCCGTACTGCTGCTTATCTCCGCCTCAGGCGAAAAGGCTGTGATTTTTAAATTGAGTGGGTGGCGTTGATTTTCCCGCTGGCTTGAGGAAGGCAGCGGGGCACCAGAGGGAATGTTTACTTAGCGCTGTGGCACCACTGCGATGAGCGTCACGATAACATATTATCCGTGTGCTCAGTCTGGAGCTGTTCAACCCCTCCAAGCGTGGTAAATCCTGCCTCTCCCCACCGCGCACTTTCAGCATAAACTTTTCTTTGCAACGGCGTCCGCTGCGTAAGGGGGTAAATTATGTTTTTATCTACAGTTTTTGCCGTCAGTCGTCTATTTTAAGACAGTGTCGCTGATATCATGCTCTTTATTTATACACCTTTTTGAAGCACAAAATAAGATCTCTTCATCAAAAAGGGCAGATCAAATTATCAGTAGACGCAATGAATGCAGGGTGAGACAATCAGGATCAAAGCGAAACTAATAAAAGGCAGACTGAGACGGTAATAAAGGTCGCTATATGAAAGCAGGTCTATAAAAAGATCCACCGGAGTCTTAAAAATGAGCCGCAAAATCATGTAATCGTTTCTGAAATCGGCTAACAGGTGAATAAACCCTTTCAAATATTGACCCTCTTTTGGGTCTCTGGTGCCGCATGTTCTCAGCTCACTGCAACGGCGGTAATCACTCGCCCACCAGGGCGTCTAGGCCCATGGCTCAGAGCGGCTCTCGGGGAGAAAGCTCCTCAGTCTGCAAGGAAACGACGGGAAGAGATAAGGGGGACGGGGGGATGGAGGGGGGGGCAGGTCAGGCAGGTGAACATGGACGCGGAGGTGACGAGGGAGGCCGGGTTCCATACCCGTCATCCACATTATGTTTCCACACTGGAGCGGCGGTGGCCTCCCTCGGGGCGTTGTTGTGCCGCTACAAGCTGAAAGAGAGCATAAGCGCCTCTCTCGCTCCCTGTGTGTGTGTGTGTGTGTGTGTGTGTGTGTGTGTGTGTGTGTGTGTGTGTGTGTGTGTGTGTGTGTGTGTGTGTGTGTGTGAGAGGACTTGGTGGTGGACAGTCACGGCTGCTTGCCCGCTCTGTTTTAGCCCGCGCTGCGCCAGCCGCTCTGTTGGACAGCATGTTCTCTGCAGCACGCGTCCAGAGAGGAGCAGCCAAGCGGAATGACACCCGCCTCAGCAGCCTGCCAAACGCCGCTCAGGATGGCAGGACACGCACGCGCACGCACACAGGAGGATGGACAAATACACTCAAAACAAGGCGTTAGTACGCAACACACTTGCACTTTTAGGTTACAGAATGGAAAAACTGAACGCAAACGCTGGTTGTTTAATACACTCCAATGCGTTTCTGTGGAACCATCACAGGGAGAAAAAGTCGCATCCATTCTCAAGGTAACTGACTCAGTCAGAAAGGCCCTAACTTAACCAGCGAGGCAGCAGAACGCGCTGACACCGGTAGCGGAGTGCGAGCTTCCCACAGAACGCGTTCGCCACGCCCCACTCGCTTCGTCTTCATCAACGTGTGTGTCTGCAGGGGCCGACACTCCTTTACACACCTCCGGGAAAGTAGGGGGGCTGATGGGTGATAGTTGTAGTGATTAGGAGGACTATTAAAGATGTATTGTTATACTTGTGCTTAGTGTTAAACTGGTTATTTGCATAAAAGCACAAAATTGAAATAGGCATAAGTATTTTTAATTATGTATCGGAAGCTAAACATTTTTACAAAGATGCCTCTCAACATTTTAATTTACCGTAGCTCAATACGGATTTGTACTGTTTGCAGCCTGAACGCATCATGATGCAAGTCAATGCAACCTCCATTAACTGCCGTTAACTCCGTTATCAGCGGCACTTGTCGGGAGGGACCCTCTGCTGTCTGCAGGCGAGCCGATCACTGCGATTACTTTGAACGGCATGATGGGAATTATTCCCAATATAATGGGCCACGTCGTGTCGAGTGCTCGCTCTGTTAATCAACCGAGCAGAACAGAGCTGCCTGCGTTTCAGCCCATGATGCTGTTTGATTGGACCTCGCTCAGAACCTCGTCCCAGCCTCGGGCTGCAGAGGTGGTCTCACAGTACTGAACTGGGTCTTCACGCTGACACTGAGGTGAATGCTGGATAGATAAGACGAGTCTGGTGTCGCGTAGGGCTCCACCCCCTTTTTTTTATCAATGAATCATCGCGGGAGAAGCTTTAACGAGCAGATGTTTGGGACGTCAGCTTGGAAAAGGACTAAAACGATTCATTATCATTACAGTTGCGAAAATTGTTTTCATTCAATTAATCAATTACTACACAAGTAGATGAAGACCACATCTAATGATCTATCTACAAGATACTTTTCTGATCTTCAAAATGATTTGATCATTTTACCAAAAGTACATTTTGATTTACCGCAGATGCAGACGGCTACGACGTGTTGATTGCATCCGTTTGTTGAAGCGAATGCATGTATGTTATGAAAATGAACGAGAGCTACACCCCCTCAACCGTAAGCGCTGAGAGGTGTGAGTGAATTCTCTGATCGTTCATGAATGCACACAGAAGTCATACAAAGAATGAAATAACAATAACGTGTAGAGAATAAATGCATTGATGCAGTCGGCCACTGTCTCCTCAATTCAGTCCCTGTGCTCCAAATGAGCTGGCCAGTGGCAGTATTGATCGAACCTGCAGTATATTATTGATGTCGTTATTAATTGATGAAGGACTGCAGGTGTACTGACCTTCAGGGCTGTCAGCCCGGAGCCTCGCCTCACTTTGTTCATTTCTACTTCAATTTTCTCACACACAGGCACGCCGTATTTTGCCAAGCGCAACATGACAAAACAAATTTCATGCTCCGGTGAACAATTACGTCAAATAAGCACAGATGAGTTATCAACAGTGTTGGTCTTCATTCACCGCTTCTGTTTCCATTGTGATGGGACGGCGACGAATAATCTGCATTGCCACATTTGCACGTTTGCTCCTCTTGTCTTGGGTTTCTGGTGGCACAAATTGTTCCAATTAGTGTTGTATCTGATATATTCTCTATTTTGCCTTCATCTCCTCTTTTTTTTCCTGTATCTCCAGCCTTCTCCTTTTATCCTGCTATCTCTCTTCCACACAAACACACACACGGTTCCTCTATCAGCACCTAGTCTCAATTTAACAGCATGGCAGATCAGATCCCACCACCTGATTTGAATTGTGAATGGGATTTTTAATGAATCTCAACGCGATTCTGAATAATTTCAACCTTTTTATGGATGTGTGTGGAATCTGGGTGGTGGTCCCGGGCACCCTGCGGGGGGGGGGGGGGCGGTGAAAGGTGAGCTGAGAAGTGTTTCGCTGCCTTTACGGGAAATCCGTCACTCCTCTTAAAACGCTTTACTTCGCCGGGGGGCCCTCGGAAGGGCGCGTGGGTTCCCATGCCAACTGGCACCAGCCGCCGCACGCGAGAGGGCAGCAGGCGGAACCGCCGAGACCTCGCTGGTTTTAATGTAAAGTTAACATCCTCGAACTAGCTGCGGTTCAGATTCACTCCCACGCGTCTGCACACAAAGGCAGGAACACACACACGCGCACACACACGCGCACATTCATAAGCGGCACTTTGCGGAGCGTGCTCGTGTCCTTCCACCCCGCTTCTCCCAGCTGCACCACAAGAGACCTGTCTAAGTGACAACAATTAGCCTGCTCAGTTCAAGCTAATTGAAGCCATTTGCATAATACACGCCTGCCGTCACAATTCGTCTGTGGACAATTCAAGCAGGTCTGAGTCATATTGTCACAACCTGATGTTAGAATCCACCCCCCGCCTCCCCGTCCCCCTCCTCCCCCTCCGGCTTGATAAATGATCCCCAGAGTCACTTAACACAAAGCCTATCACTCATAAGGATTGTTCTCACTTATGTTATTCTTCTAAAGGAAATAAGGCGTGAATTTGTCAACATAGGCGGATACACACATTGTTAAAACTATGTGTTTGCCGTCTGTCCCTTTTTATGCCGGCAATTACTCCGCGTGGAAAACAACCAGGCGAGGAGATCTCGTGCTTTATTAGCCTGTTGTTTTGGAGCTGCTTCTGACAGGACGCTGGCCAATAAGTTAAAATAAATGGCTTGATGAAATGCTTTGGTGTGCAGAATCCTTCACGCTGGATTTCTGAAAAATCACGCTGCCACGGCTCATAACAGGCGATCTGTTTCCTGGGTGATTTATGAAATCAATTTGTGTTGTTATCAGCAGCCAGAGTTTGTGCGATCCCATCATTCAGAGCACGGGCTTTTCAACTTGGGGGTAGAGGTGTGGGGGCGGCACTTAATAGACACGTTTAAATATGACAAATCAGTCATTCATGCTGTTGCATCATGCTGTGAATGGGGGGGGTGATGATGCATTGAGTGTTGATTCAATTTGGCAACAAAAGGAGTGGATCCTCCGAATGGCCTGTTGGTTTCTCCTGTGTTTTGATGGTGTAATTCACGCTCGCCGTCACTGGAGACTCAGTAGCCAGACACCATCTCTCCGCTTGTTTCCCCGTGACTCTTCAAATCACGCGTGGAGCAGGAAAACACTGCAAATCCTCCTTCCACGCCGCTGTGTGGTGCATCGCTCTGGTAACAGGATTACGAGTTTGCGTGTGCAGACATGGCCGTCCTCACCGCTTCTTTTCTTTTTGTTTCAGTCAAGCTGAAACACTCTGAACGTCTCAGACTCATTCCTTTCACTCCCTCCGTGGCGATCCACTAATTTCCCCTCCTCTCTCGTTGCTTTTCGTCCCTGCAGTGAAGTTCGAGGATTGCCAGCGCAGCAGGGAGGTGGGCTTCGTCAGCAGCGACCCCAACTTCAGCGTGCGGCCCGACGGGTCGGTGTACGCCGAGCAGGAGCTGGCCAACCTGTCAGAGCCCGTCCAGTTCATGGTGACGGCCCGGGGGTTCCACGACGCGCACATCTGGGAGACCACCGTTAAGCTGGCGCTGGCCGGACACCCTCACCCGATAGCACTGACGAAGGTAACGGGAGGAGGAGGGGGAGAAGGGGGGTGGGGGGGGGCACGTTCAGGAATAGCACACGGGGGGTTTATCACTGAAATGCTTGAACTTTGCTGTAAAGCTGCTTTTGCATCCAACCCCAACTTCTCCCCGAGAAGGAACTTTCCAGATGTTGAACAGGGTTCCGGCATCGTGATGGCCGTACTGCTTAATGGAGAACGGACTGCAAAGCACTTTGCAACACAAGCCCATTGATGCGCAACCGGTGCAAGCTGCTCATTAGGAGTGATAAACACTCAGTTTGTGGCTCGCTATCTTGTGAAGGACACTTTAACACGTAGACTGCAGGGGGCCAGGTATCGAACCAATGACCTTCTGATTAATGGACAACCGTTGGATCCTTGTTGATGAAGCGCCGACGAATCAATCTCTTTTGTTAGCTCAAAAACAAGTTAACCGTACAAAACAAAAGCTTTCCGGTTACTCTGCAGACACAATTAAGGATTGTGTTTGTAAGGTAAACAGAACAATGTAGCGCCACAAAAGGATGAGATTTTGTAGTTCAGCGAGACGAAGGTTCACTGCCCTTCTCTCGATCCGACCGCGTCAGTATCAGGGGAATGTCGAGCATTCCACATCACCACTTCACGCGTCCGTATTTGGACCTCATGAGCAAATCTGGTTTGTTAATAAGAACATTTTACAATATGTCAGATTGTTTTGCCTAATCTGTCAACAAAAAAGTGGTTACAGTTTTTTGTTAAAGACATTTTCAACTCAAGTGACTAGCAAGTGTTGAAAGCCAAACCTAATTATATCTGATCAAATATTCTCAAAGGATTTAGAGCATTTGCAACTGGATTAAGATTCAATGAAACGCTATTAAACACCAACCCTAGGTTCCTAATTAGATATGCTTCATTACTTTGAGAAAGCGTAAAGCGGCTTCCTAATGAAGGATCTGATCACAACCGCTAAGGACGCCGCTTTTCGGGGGTCCCTCTTTGAGCATTTACAGCAGCAACGATGTGACCGCGGTACGTGCACGGGAGCTTCTTCGTATGTGAGTAAGTAGAGACATGGCCCTATTCGTTGCCACGGCTCTAATGGACTGTAACACTACACAGGGGCCAAATGCACAGCCCCCGCTACTGGCTTCTACCGCTGGAATGCACTTTGTTGAGCGACGTGCCCATTATCGTTTTTTCCCGCGCTGCTTGTTGAACGCCATTGGGCTTAATGTTCAGTCATGTTTCTAATCATGACAAAAAGCCAGAGACTCATGTCGCTAAAGCAATTGCAGAGTGGGGATTAAAATTCTGCCCGCTCCTGCCAGTGCAATAATGGAGACTAGGAAATAATTGACATTGATTGAGCTAATGTTCCACGCTGCCGGAGTCTGCGAGGGCCCAGGTGATGTAGTTTTTGGCGTGTAATAACGTTCACATCAAAGAGCGAGAGGAATATTAAATAATTAAACAAGAAATAAATGTGTTTTTTTTTTTTCTCTAATCACATGGAAATTTGAAAACTAGCTTTTATACGTTCTGTGTAGCTTGCATCGCTGCAAGAACAATGTTTACATGTGTTTGTGTCACTGTTTTCCTCGCATGCTTTGGGAGGCTGCTGGTGCTGCATTAGAAGCCCTGAGGACAAATACAAACTGAATACCTGTTTCATTAGAAGCTTGGTCATTAAAAAAGCAATTATTCATAGTATGTGCTACGGAATAAAGTGAGATAGGAACAGGGAGTGAAGGGATGCCTATTAAGATACCAAAAATACACTTTGGTTTAATTTTATTCCCCCTCTGCTTGTTACCTGGTGTAAAACCAATCCAATGTTACCATTCCTCCTGCACCAGCATTATTAAAACTGCATAATTCCAGGAACTGAAACTCTGAGAGACAACCTCCACCAGGCTGAATAATCTCCCTTTTAAACATTGTCCTCACTGCCATCGACTATTGATGACTTATAGCTGCAATTCCTTCATTTGACGGAGGCAAAGCAGAAAGTCGGCCCACACGGAGCGGCGGATTCCGGGGAAAGTAGGTTTAAAAAATAGTCTGCAACTGAAGTGTGGCCAATTTTCCCCTTTTCTAGTTCAGCGCACATACACACAGCGATAAATAGTTGTTATCTGAGTTGTTATCTCTTTGTTCTATTTATTTTAGAAATAATGGAATCATTTCCTACAGCAACAGCAACCTCCGGTATCTCTGCGTTATCAACGTGGAAGATATAAACATCTCCGGATATCGTCTTCCTCTCAATGCTGCCTGAAAGACAAACAGCTCAAATGGCAAAATGTTTTGTTTAGAGGCAGCTGTTTGTCATTTGAATCGGCTCCAGCACTGAACATTAGTGTGGTTTCATCCTCATGCTGCTGAACAGCGCCGGTGAGAGAGCACTGATGCTCTTTTTTTAATAAGCTGTTGAGTTTCTCACTGCTGTTTTAGTAGCAGAAAGGTGATTTTATGCTAAAGCGTAGCGTTTTTGTGCACAACGCCAATGTGCAGCGCCATCTTTGACCTGAGGGCCCTTTCCGCTGTGTCCTCGTGCTATCGCAGCGCTCGCAGCGAGGGTCTCTCGTCGAGTGCTCTCCAGCTCGTACTGATTTCATGGCCTGTTGGTTGGACTTCTCCACCGGCTTAGAGCCCATCAGTCATGCGCCACTGGATCCGGACTCGACCGGGTGCCAGAGCGGCTTTTAGTGCTTATTTCATTTGCATTTTTTCCCCCCCGCTCCCAAGGCAACCTCACCTGTTTGAGGTAGATTACAGAGAGGGCCGGCAGCGGGGTGGAACGCGGGACCCTGGGGTCCACCGGTCGATGGAAAGCAAGACCGGCGTGGTCAGATGGTTGCCCTTTTGCAGGGTGCTTAACTTTGTGGTTTTAGCCTAATTATGTTGACAATCCACTCTGGAAAGCTGCACGTCTCGACAGGCAAACAGCGGCTTTGACAGTTTCAATATTTGTCCCCCAAAGTTAGACTGAGAGAAGGTTTTGGGAAACATCTCAAGGGAGAATATTCTCCTGACTGACGACTAACACTAGGATCTCTTTTTTTGACGTAAAAAAAAGAAAAAAGACCTGACTGAAATATTTCCAGAGCCACACCGAGCACAGAATGGCAAATGAACACACGTTTTTATTGTATTGTTCTGCCTGTTTGTCAAGCTGATAACCTCCAGATGTCAGCGTCGGCGCTCCGGGGCAGCCGGCCTAAAGAACGCCCCAGCAATGTGCAGCCTGTCGGGGAGCAGGGAGCTGCCAGCTGGCACGGCACCGCCGCTGGTCTGCGGGAGCCTCGGGCGCTTTGGGGACACACTTACTGGCTCCCGGTCATGTGCTCATGCACGTACACTCTCTGGGTCACGCAGAGACTCGTGCACACGGCCGTTATTTCCACGCATTTGTTCTTGTGCGGCCATGCCTGCACCAGGGCGGCCACTCTTGATTTCCCATATGTGCACACAGGCGTGACTGAGCTACACATGCACGCACCAAATTCAGACACAGACATTCATACAGAAAATAAATAAATCCCCAAACACTAACAAGCGACTGGCTTGCTGGCACCGAGCGTAGAGTTTGTTTTTGTTTTTTAATCCAAGGTTTCTTTCGTTCTTTTGTAGTGCTGGTATTTTCACGGTGCCAAAAGCTTCTGCCTGAAAGTGACGGTCGCGTGCAGCCTCGAGGTCGATATCATCCACCGGCAGCCTCACGATAAAAAGCACTTCTCCCTTTCATTGTCTCTCTCTCTCTCTCTCTCTCTACCTGACCGCCTCCCTTTCTGACTTTGGCATCATTTCCAAAGGAATGCTGGGAAAACCCCGACCAATCGGATGCTTCCACCTCGTTATCTTCGGGCCGGACGAGCCGCCTACGTCAGGGGGCTGATTGGCGTACGGGGGCTGCCGTTCAGCGGTTTCTCTGCGGATAAGGGCCCTTATCGTGACAGCAGCACACTGACTTTACATCGATGAGGGGGAGGGGGGGGGGGGGGGGCGGGGGGCTTTGCAACGGTGTCACATGTGTCCCTGCGTGGTGACACGGAGGCCGTTCTGTTGATCCGCCCTCCCCTGCGTCGCTTTGCATGATTTGTTTCTAACGTGATCTTTGTTTTCCCTGGTTTGTTTTTTAATGAGCACCTGCAAACATGTACACAGCCACGGGAAACGCACACAAACGCATTCGCAGACTAATTCCACCTGCCGTCCGTGGAGGCCGGGCTGGCAGCGTCCCTGCTTCCCCCGCGCCAGTTGGTACCTGTGACTGTTTTGGCTGAGGGGAGCCAGAACGAGAGTTATCTTATCTGGTAAACACATCTGGTCCCTCCTCGTCCTCTAACCATCCGCCTGGTCGCCCCCCTCTCCCCCTCCCCCCTCCTCCCTCGCTGTCCCAACGTCCGCGCTGAACTCGCAGCCCAACCCTCCGAGCTGCCAAATGTGTTGGAGAGTTAAAACAAAAGATGAAAAATATAAACCGCATTTGCTCAGGTGCAGCTTACAGTCACAGACAAAGCAGGTGCACGTTGATACGATGAGCCGGGCCGACCCGTGTTCTGCACGGCAGCGTGCCCGCGGTAGGCTGGTGTGCACTGTGTGTTGCCGGTGCGTTGTGGGTATTCCAGGTGGGATGAGCAGGAGGATTTTCACCGTGCTTCAGGTGACAGTGACACAATGCCAGTGTGTTTGTGTGTGTTTGTGTCTGCACACACAGAGCCTGGAGACAACAATAGGATTAGGTGGATTACAGCAATACAACCATTTTACACAGGAGGACACCATAGAGGATCGGGTCTTTTAGACAGCCTTCTAACCCTTATTTCACCAGGCAAGATGCGCACGAACACAATCTCCTCTCTGAAGCTGTATGTTTGCAGAAGGGTTGCATATACGTTCCTTTAAAGGAGTTACCCATCGCGGTGCTGTACGATGTTCAAAGTACCTCGCCATCAAAACTATGAAGTAGTAGAAGTACATAACTGCAGGGCGGTGTAGCGTTTCTCTCCCCTGCTCCCCTCATCAACAGCGGATCTGACGGACGGCTTCGGTCAGGACAGAGTGTCTTCGGCAGGGACATGGGGGAGAGAGACAGGCAGGAATAAAGGCGTCTTCGTGGGCGACCTGTGTCTTGACAAAGGCCTCATGAGATGTGATGCAGCAGCGTTCAGGGAAAAGAAAGCGACGTTTTGTCGCGCCGCTCGCGCCGTCGCGCCTTTCAACGTGAGGTTATTGTGAGCGCGACACACGGCATTTTAGTTTCAATTTTAGCAGCACTTTATAGATTCATATGCCGAGCTGTCGTGGCAAAATGGCATTCTTCAAACGATAACGAAGGTATTCAATGCGAGATGTGGCACAGTATGACATGTTTGCGTTTTTTTTTTCTTCTTCTTTTCAGGGCGGCATTGAAGAAATGCTGTCAAGAGCCTGGGACTCCCAACCCAGAGTTATCAAGTTCCCTCGAAAACATCAGAGGGGCTCCTCCTCCAACGGGCTGAGGCGACAGAAGAGAGACTGGGTCATCCCCCCTATCAACGTGCCCGAAAACTCCCGAGGACCCTTCCCTCACATGCTTGTCAGAGTGAGTGACATGTTTTTTTTTTTTAATATAATTTCACCAAATACCACACATGATGCGGAATGTCCTTCGCCGCTTCTTACGCAACTCGACTTTGCAGAGAAGAGCGATGAAAAGGTAGACGGGCCATGTGTTTTCCTTGGGCACTCGGGTCAGGCAATAGAGAGGAGCGGTGAACATAGAGCAATAAGTCTTGCAATCACCATGAGGCCCAAGGACGAACACATTCTGGTATTTTCCATCAAGCACGCCCAGCGGGCGAAAAGCGCCGCTCTAGACTGCCATTTAAGTCGTGATGCCGGGTGATCCGTCTGCTCTGCCTCTGGGCGCCGCAGGAGAAGGAGAAGAAGAATAATCCTTGCTTGGAAAGCACACAAATAAGCAGTGCATGCTTGGTTTCGGGAGAATAGATCTGAGTATTCTCTCCCCGCGCCTCCACCTGGTAACATTGCCGCCGCAGTGCGTGTCTTTGTAGATCGCAGCGATCAGGACGTCCGCGTTGTAGCGAGGTTCGGTAACACGTCTGGAGATAAGCGGTCGTTGGAGGATTGCTCGAGCGTTTTAGCATTTATTTTTTCACGACAAATAAAGCCGTTCAAGAGATTTTTCTCATGCGTGGAAGCCGATGGTTGTGAGCATTTTGTCTCGCCGGCTGGCATCGCCTCACTGTAACAAACACGCAAACGGTAGTCCGACAGGGTTTTCTCCCCCCCGAACAAACATGCATGCACACACACACACACACACGTGCAGATTTCCGAAGCTGTGCACATGCAGAGATCTCTTTTAAGAAATGTATTCAAACGTTGGGCAGGTAGTCAGTGGGGATTTAGTTTACAGCTTTCAAACTGACTTCTCCCTTTTATGCGATGAATTATAAAACTAGGGAAATTATCAAACGATGGGGAAACTACCAAAGCACAATAGATAAAAAAGAATAATACAAGTGAGCGCGCAATAGTCTTTAAGTGGAACATTTATAATGAGCTCTTGACAACCATAATTTAAATTTGAAAGTGTAGACTGCAAAAAAGAATAAATTCTTAATGAAACTGACTTGCAGCCTCGAATGATGTTTCTGTATATTGGGTTTGGTCCCTTATTACATTTTTTCCCTTTCCATTTGTCCAACATATCACACGGAGCGGAACCTAGAACCAGGTGTAGGACTGGGCTGGAGTATGTAGTAGTATGAGGAACGCATATTGAGGCAAAACTCTTCTACCAGCTCGATCGTATCCGTGGTTTCTGTGTGAATGCGTTATTTTTATGTCTGTTTCGAGCACAAAGAAGGGTTTCATTTTGCCTCGCAGCTCAGATAACATTCATTGTTCTCACAATAAAAAAAAAGTTGCATGTAGCCGGTTGTTGACTACAAGTGGATGACAACGAACACTAGAATACGGAAAAACCTAAAGCAAGCTTCCCATGAAGGCATCAGCCTCTCAGCTCTGGTCCGTTACTCTAAACTCGCCTCTCTTGATGCCTCTTATCAGACACCCAGACAGACTTGCAGCTTTCTGCTGGCAGTTCTCTCTCACACACACACACACACACACACACACACACACACACACACACACACACACACACACACACACACACACACACACACACACAGTCTCTTACGCCCGTTTGTACAGCGAGGTTTACACTCCCGGATTACGGAAATCGCCTTTCATCAGTGTGTCGGCAAAAGGGCAGATTTTTTGCCTAAGCATGGAAACACTCACCCTCGCACAGAAAAACGCACCGCAGGGCCACGCGGCGTCCGGGGGGACGTCTAATTGTCCTGCCCTGCTGGAGAAATGCACCCTCTTTTATCCCCTTCTCACGTGTCTGGTGTCAGATGGTTGGATTAAACCTTGAGGGCGGGTAGCCGTGTGTGTCTTCAGGGTGTGTGTGTGTGTGTGTGTGTGTGTTTGTTTTGCGCGAGGGGACGTCTTCCCGCCTGCTTCCAGCTATACAGTGTGTGGAAACAACATACGTGTAGCTGAAAGTGGAGCACCACGGGGTGCGTCACGCACGCCGTCCCTCTCGGGATGGCCAGCTTCATCTGGCTGGTCTCAGAAGCGGCCGAGAACAAGCTTTTAAAGGCCGCACGCTTGATTTCAGGACGCGGCCGGCGCTTTGTGCCACGGAGAGACTCTTGTCCCGTGTCTCTGGACTGGAGCCGTCACACCAGCCAGGTCCGCCATGTTCGCCGGGTTTAAAAAGACCCAATTAACCTCCGAGGCGTAATTACGGCTTTGTGAGCATCAAATGACGCAAAGGACGGGCCCAGGGAGGCGTGTGGTTGGAGGGAATTCTCTTTGATTCCGTGGGAGCACAATGAGCGGCTAATGCAGTTCTGCTGCTGAAGGATATTTCATTAATCCACGGAAAATCCAATTCCATGTTCAAAAGAAAGTACTTGCTGATTTAATTATAAAAATAAAATACACCCTCATAAAGCCATCATGTATTCCTTCATAGTCACTATGTAATATTTATGCCGCCGCCAATCCCACTGCACTCTGACGTTGGTCATCATCATCATCATCGGAGCTCTTATTGCTCAGTTGGCAGTATTCTGTTTATGCTTCTCAAAGCTACTTTCACACACACACACAACTAGGCAGCGGCGTTCTCCTGGCCATTTCGGCCATTTCCCCTTTTGCCTTTTGCCATTCCGTCGTGACGAAGCATTGATTTGGCCTCGTGCTCGGATGGAATCTGCCGCCGAACTTTCGCTGTCAAATTATTTGACGTGACGGATGTAAGTGCGGCGGAAACGGAGAAATTGAAAAACAGCCCAGAGTTAAACGGATACTGAGGTGGATGTTGAGGACCACTCCTCCTTTTCTGAAAAAACTCCACAGCAGCTCGGCTGGGAGACGGGAAAGCGGGACAGACTGTGATTAGAAAAAAAAAAAGAGAAAGGAAAGAATGGAAAGTCTTTGGGGAGTGGTGTAAATCTGCAGGGGAGAGAGGCCAACATTAGTTTCAGGCCATTTGTGGCATTCTCATCTCGACCGTCTCTCCTCAGCACCTACGCTGGGGCCAATGAGGCAAAACTGATGGAAAGCATTCTTAATACGGGCGAGAGGAGACCCTGCTAGTATTTAACCAGGCCTCAGACACCGGTGACCTCTCTGACCCGAGCAAACAATCAACATGGGCTGGATGTAATTGATCACACATTTCGGACAGTCATTTAATAATTATGTGATTCTACGGCCGAGGGAAAGTTTCTCTTCCTCCATCTCCTTGTGATGGAGCTGAATTGGCCGGAGACGCACAGTCCTCATCGTGCGTTCACATTCTCGCAGAAGAACGCGGGTCTTAAGGTGACGAGGTGAGCCAGCCTATTAAAACACATCTGGGCCTGATTTGGTTCACCTCATTATTTTGAACAGGCCATTACGGCGGCGCTCATGGGTGTTACGATGCGGCGCGGTGTTGAATGTGTCACAGCCGGAAGGACCCGAGGCTCCTCATTTACAGGGATTTCATCAAATGCAACACAAACACAAAGGCAAATGTTGCGTCAACAATCCACACTTTAGCATAAGAAAACTTTAGAAGCAGGAGGGAACACGTGCCTTTAATCAGTGTAGTTAAGATATGTGGGATATACTGTATATATATATATACTGTGTGCATGTGTGTGCTGGAGTAAGTTAACTCATTGATATTGTAAAGTCTGTAAAGCTGTTTTCTCAGTACCCAAAATGAAAACATGGTGGGTTATTTACAAGCTCATATTGCAGAGGGTATTTCATTACAGCTCATAATGAGCTGGTAATATGCTTTTTGGATACGCTTGTTTTGTCAGCAGCGTTATTGCATCTCTGGTTGCATCTCATATATTGTCTCCATTGTGTTTGGTTTGTGTGTGTGTGTGTGTGTGTGTGTGTTTACCCCAACATATAGATACATGAGGTATAATGAACATCATTATATTACATCATTCAAGACCAAATCTAACTATCTAAATTTAACCCGTAACAGAAATAATTAAAAAAAAGGTTACTTAAAAAAGAATTCTGATCGTTTTTCCAAAAGTTTTCAGATAAAAATGACATTTCCTCTCTTCTGAAAGAAGCAGTGAGGAACTACAGCAAAATAAACCTCCACGCATTCAGCATCCCGAGCACATGTAGTTTCAGCCTCACAAACGGATCGATTGGCAGGGATTTGTAGCTCAATCATCGACTGCCAGCAAGTGTTTTGTCGACTAAACTAAGGCTTAAAATAAATTCTCCAACACGACAACTTTCAGACACCACCCCTTATTCTAACATATATAACATGTACAGGACTAAATACACTACGGGAAGAATCAACAGTACTGCAATGATCACTGATTGATTAAAAAAAAACATAACTTTCATCTCCTAGATAACAGATTTTGGTGATATTAGGAACTTTTAGAACAATTAATTAGCCTATTGTGTAAACCAAACTAGTCAAACCCCCCCGATAGCGTGTGATACTTTACACAAGAACCCATGGCAACCATTCTATCTCTCTGCTCTGTTTAATGTATTAACTAGACTAAGAGCAGGTGCTTTAGACTGAGGTCCCCCGGGAACCTTTCAAAAGCCCCAAGCAGAAAACAATGGTGTAAAGTCACATAGAAGAAAACCAATGGATGATTCAAGAAGAATAAAGCATCATAGACAGAAGACAGGCTTTATCTCTGGGGCCTGCAGGGATGAGGTTTAATGCCAGAAAAATCTGAAAACATTCTGACTGTACAGCAGCAAAGTTGGGGAAGTTTTGGAAGTGTAGTTTCTATATTATTCATTACTAAACTGTCACATTATCTTTCCAAAACGATATTCCACAGAGCGGCAGGCCGAACAAAAGTCCGTCTATCTAACCTTCACGCGTCTCATCAATCTACTGGACGCGGTGGTCGTATTACTGGGAACCCGAGGGAGTGATTTTGGGCGGTTTGGCCCTAATTTGTTAGGGGACTCAAATTCACTGCTCAGCCAAACTCTTCTCCTCACTTT